CTGAAATTTCTTACCGTTACTGACACCAGTGGCCGTTAGAGAAACTGCAGCCAGTCTCATGCTCGTTCTTGGTGCGCACGCTCGCATGCCAGAGATGTATAAAGTACTAGAAACCCGGACTTGAGTAAAAGTACAAGTGCTCTATCAAAAAAGTGACTTGAGTAGAAGTTGAACTGCTCTTTAAGCACCACACTTAAGTAGAAGTACCAAAGTATTCAACATTTTTTGTACTTAAGTATTGCAAGTAGTTTATTTAAAAATTCACTACTTAAGTACTAAAAGTAGAAGTACAAGTATTGTGTAATGCAATTATTAAAGAAAGCAGTCAAAAGTTTGAACTAGCAATCAAATAAGGCGCTTTGGCGGGATACAAATTTGCTTTGGCGGCCGCCAAAAAAATGTCATTGCAGAACAACCCCTGCATTAGTTGTCAATGTGTGTGTCAATCAATACCATTACCCTATAAAACTGGTGTGTGATTTAGGCAGCATGAAAGCCAACTTGCAACGAATTATTCGTAAAATTTTTATAATTGTACAGCATTTTAGTACTTAAAGGTGCTGTATGTGATTTCTAGCGACCTCTGGCGGTGATGTTTCAGAATGCAACAAGAGCGCTCGTGCTCGTGCTCAATCTCAAGAGCGAGCAATCATTCACTACCAGCCACACGGAGACTTTCAACGCAACGGCGAAATTATCACACATGCTGGAAACTAATGTAAACTCCCACTCCAGGTACAATAATAGCCTACTTTTATCAGCTTGACGTTGAACTAATGCTCTGTGCTCGTACCATGATCATAATGCTACAATAAACTGCATTTGCATTTAGCTGATATGTGGTGTTATACCATAAGCCATTTCTCGAACTATTCGTGTATCTTTCACAATCAGCAATGTCAACAGGTGAATGTATAATATGATAATGAAAACGGTTAGTGAACTAAACTGAACAGTTTCAGTGTATCAGTAAGATCGTTGGAAGTAACAATACTGTACTGAACTTGTCTGGAAATGTGTATAAACAATATGGTAGTGGGATGACGACATTAGTCAATACGTTAGATCTAGTAAATAAAATAAGTTACATACTAAATGTTATACTAATGTTATCCTGGAACATTATTTTGTATTCATGTCATGTTTCATTTACCTTGTTATTTCACTTGAGTTTACTATGTTGATCCGCGTTTTCGTCCAGAGTCGATCAGATTCACGTTTTGCCTGACGAGCTTGAGCAGATAAAACTTTTTTTTGTTTTTTATATTTATGTGAAGTTTGTGTTGGAGTCTGTGTTGTGCTGGAGGCAGGACGTTTTGGGGGGTTATCAGACTCCATGTCGTTAGCTGAAGTGCCGTTGTTCGCATGATAGACTGTAGGATAGAGAGGCTCGGGACTCGGGAGCGCGCATGCACGTCACTTCTGATGGATTTCGCAGGAAATCCGACCCGGAGACCTCGCATATAAATAAGAATATTGGCCTTCAGAGGTAATGGCAAAACCCGAAAAGTGGATCGTTGTAATGTGTGATTACAACCCCTTCAAACACAGGCAATAAAAAAAAGGATTCATTTTATAAAAATAGTTACATAAAGAACCTTTAAGTACAGTACTTCTACTTAAGTACAGTACTTCAACTTCGTTACTATACATCTCTGTCGCACGGTCGTTGGCTGCGCTAGATGGCTTTTTTAAAAAATGTATGAGGAGTTTCCGTGAGTGTCTGGATTGACTGGAGGCTGGTCGCTTCTTTCCGTCTGCAGAGTCCATTTGAAACGCTACTACTAGCGATTGCTGCTGCTTACTAATGGCTGCCGTACGGATGTAAGCCCAAGTAGACGAGAACGCGCATGACGTCACATTTTGTGAATTTCACGCCAATTCGGACTCGGCTCCTCCACACAGGCTGATAGAGGCAACCGTGGTGGACAGTCAAGGTGTCATTCTTTCTATTACATTATGATTGGCTCATAAATGTACAAATGAAGACTTGATTCTTTAAAGTAAAAACCTACACACAGCCCCTTTAAAATCAGACATTTTACTTGACACGCTGTTTGATTAGTTACAACAACCGATCAATATTTTGCACTAGCTCAAAGACACTTTATTATATTGAGGAATATATATATCATACTGTTTTCCACATGTTTTGAAATTCTAATTCAAGCATGGCAATACATTTTCCATTTTCATCTTTTCACCAGTCTACCATTCCATTACAGAAAAACACCGGGAGCAAAAGGTTACCTTCTCTACAGAAACATGTAAACAGACTGAAAGGTCATCAAACAGAGCCCTGTGCCGCTGCGCCCATCTCTAGCGGTGCAGGAATTTAAAAAAGAAAGGTTGTGAGGAAAAGTGGCTGGCCCTTTCAAAAGCACAGAACAGGACGGGAAGGCTAAGTAGAAGAAAGAGAAGCAGAGAGCACACGCTTTCTTCCATACCCACCTCCATAAGTCTCCTGCAACTCAATTGGGTGAATTAGAATAGCAAGCATATATATCAATGTGTAGGACTAACCTTGTTTACCTCTGTCTCTCACGTCTTTGCCACTGTTTGCAACACTCAAAAGCTTTTAAACTTTTGCCCTCAATTTCGGTTGTTCACCTTTAAGTCAGTATGAAATATACTGAAATTTTACACTATATTTTGCCTACTGTTGGTGAAGTTAACATACAGTACCATGTGTACTGCAGCCGCAAATCCATAGCGTTAAATACAACTCAGTCACATGTGACGCTTATTTTGAAATCACCACCAGGTGGCGCAAAGGAACGGTTTGCAACATTGCTTATGAAGGCTGGAATTGTAAAAAAAAAAAAAAAAAAAAGGAAGGCTGGAATTGTAACATTTTTACTTGTAGATATAAATAAAACGATGAAATAAATTACTGGTGGTAATAATAATAATACTATGGCATTATAACGTTTAATTATGGCAAATTATTTATAATATAAATGCTTAAAGGGATACTTCACCTCTAGAAAGATGAATGTGTATTTAAAATGGGTCATTTATGTAAAAGAAATATGAAATTATTTTTAAATTTGGAGCTTTGTAGACTGAGAAAAGCCAGAAAATGTATTTTTGGCTTATGTGGATGAAAGACAACAACTCCCAGAATGCATTTGCTTTGCTGCCCTAGGAGGCCACGCCTACCGATAAAGAGCACAGTGTAGTTAAACAACAAGTCTACTAGCGAGTCTCTGTGATGAGTCTGCCCGAAAATGTGTTTCGAGAAGCCCAAAATGACGGGGATTCGGCTTTTGCGTTCTACAGTCGCCATTCATTGTGTTTAATGTGGCGAGCAGGACGAATTTTCTTAGCAATGTTAAAACGCACATCAACCGATTACTTGTTTAGTGTTCACATTCAGATTCACCAATCGGAATGAATTCAGTTAGATTGAAACAAAAGGTGTGCATGTAAACAATGAATGGCGACTGCAGAAATCAAAAGATGAATCCCGGACATCGATGGCCGGACATGTCCGGCAAAAAGAGGATGGTAACCCGTACTACTCAGCTACTAATTTCCACAGCTTTCTCAACAGAACAAGAGCCTGCTAGCTTGGCTTCCAAAAAAAGATGGCTGACACTATGTGTTCATTCTGTGAGTGAGATCCACCCTCTGTGGGCGGGTTGAAAACATGCAGGACAGCTCCTTCTACTGGCTGTAGTCTTTAGCCTCTGGACAATTTTTTTTTTTTCCAGACAAAAAACAAAACAAAAGCATAAATCTCTCATCTCAGGGGGATATGAGGGTGGAAAGGATGGTAATTTGAAAATACTACATGTTTTCTACTAATACAAAGCTTAATGGTAAATCCTGAAGTATCCCTTGTTCCAGCTTTGACTACTTTTACATTGCAGTTTGGTTGCTTTTTTACTGTACAGGACTAGCCAGTATTTTACGTATGCATTATGACATAAAATAAATTCAATGAAAGAAAGGTGGATTACTCTGAATGGAAATGAGCAACACATGGATTTATTTACTTTGTCAATATTGTGACCAAAATTATATTGACCGAATTATTTAATAAAACAATTTTTGAAACTATATTCTTATACAAAAATTCATGATAAGTTGACGAAAAGATAAACACAATACAGTCATGATTTTGTCAACAACTTCACATATGGCTTGGGATTAATTCAGCGACAACAGAATAATATAATGCCGTTTCGTTTCAAATGACGCTAGTGACATGGATTAGACGAGCAATAGAAACAGAAGAGGAATATAAACCAGAGATGACACCTAAAATGGCTGCTGATTTATCACTGTAGTGAGTTTGGTACTGGGCTTCCATGTATATTAGCGCAACAAATCTGGGTCCATTTAGCAAGGAGATGCTCATACATACATCACCAGTTTCAGCTCCAAGCCAAGGTCAGAACTCATTGCATCAATCTTTTCAGCAGAGGCTACTCCACACAAGGGCAGGTTTGTAACTGTCGCCACAGTAATAGAATCTTTTTTTCCTTCTGCTTCATCTTTTCTCTTATCATGTGAAATATATATTCAACTTCTTCTCTTTCCCTCATTCTCTTCCATTGCATTTTTTTATCTTTAAAACATTGGGTGAACCTCATTCTTTTTCTTGCAGACACATGCTCTGAGGATCATAGATTTTTAACGCTTTCATTTCTGGCCCTGTCAGGGGGTCTTTATAACAAATAACAATCCTTCTACAAAAAGCCTTGACCTCCTGAAATATCTATGATAGGGTTTTCCTTTAAAAAAAATGAAATGTGTTTATATTGTTGTATATAACGTGTATGTACTGTTATACTATTATTATTTTATACTGGGTTTCATGTGTGCATATTTTTTTTTAAAAGAAGTTAACACTTTATTCTGCAATGATGCATTACAGTTTTTCTCGATTGCTAACACACTATAACTGGTTCAGTTGGCTCAATTTCCCAAACCATTCGTTCATTTCACGACACGTTTCTCAATTTCTCATTTCAAAATTTTTCATTTCTCAAAACGTTTAACACATTTTAGCTGTTTTCACACACGTTCCAATTTTCTCAATATTTTCTACAAAACTCAAAAATGCCCTCATTTCACACAGATTTAACCATTCTCATCCAGAAAACACAAGTATAATTACCTCAAGTGTCACTCTAATAACACACATTTATCCATGTGTATACATTAAGTAGCAAAACTGATGACACACCACTTAGAATCTCAGGATAATATTATAAAGGCCCACAGGTGATCGTGTGCTTTGGGGGATGAATCCTAGTAGTGGAAGACAAAGAGCAAGAGGAGAGGAAAAGAAAAATGAAGGGGACGTCAAATGTCAAAGGACATTTATTCCATTGTTTGCAGGAAGGACCATGAGGGACGTTGATCTACCGGCTCATCCACAAGGTTTCTATACTCACACATACAGAACACAGTAGCAGCACTTTCGATGAGAGAACTTTCACTATTCTGCAGTAAGTACTGTAGCACATGTTGTACACCCTCAAACTCATAATTGTCAAACTCATTTGAAGTCAAGTACTTCTTACATTTCATATTTTTGCAGAACTGAGAGATGACTGCCTATGGGAGGGAGAGAAACACAAGAAACAACAAGACTAGAAACTGCTCTAGTATGGCAAATCGGTCATTACCAGTATACCGTAATGCGATTTGGCAGAGGATGCAGATTTTTTTTTTTTTTTTACTGTACTGTAATTGACAGTATACTGTATAAGTTCATATTGTGCTAGTTCACTAATGCTTTTCATCTATTGCAAGATCTCTTTACAGAAGTGTAATGAAAATAAACTTTTCTTAATTCTCATTGTTGAATTTCACTGTATCTTCACCCCTCTATTTATGCTGTATCTGTAATAGACATGACTGCATGGCCTGACCCAGACCTGAAACGAGATGATGAGAACATTGATGCCGATGCTCCATTTTGAAAATGTAAGTATATTTTTCTGTGCATAGACTTACATGTTTTGTCAGTGTGACGTTTCAAAGGCCAGGTTTTTGTCCAAAACAGCATGTACTATTGCTTTATCCACTTACGTAAGAGGTATTTTTTTACAATACTGTTTTGTATTTCTTTTGTCATGATCGTTCCTCAAAGTGTTTTCAGTCAGTGCTGTGATTTCACAAAAGTTCCAAATTGTTGATCTGAAAAACAAGTGTAAAGCGTTTGGTACAACCCGGTCTCATCCCAAGACGTCATATAACTGACGTTTTGGGACGTCTTTTGACCATACGTCAATATTCGCCTTTTTAGGGCCCCCTTAAACGTCGGTAGATGAGGTTATGGGATCCTAACTCTACCCCATACCTAAACCTAACCCTAAACCTAACCCGTCACCTAACTGACGTTAAAGGTAAAGCGTCAGTTGTATGACGGCCCGGGATCGCCATCTACCGACGTTTAAGGGGGCCCTAAAAAGGCGGATATTGACGTATGGTCAAAAGACGTCCCAAGACGTCAGTTATATGACTTTTTGGGATGAGACTGTTATTTGGTAACATGTTTTGAATGAATCCCTTCAGTGTGTAACAAACAGTTATGTAGTCTGTGCTTTTGATAGTTTGTGTGTATTGTCTGAGGGCGAAGTTTGAATGTAAGATTTAAGAAAAGGGTGAATAATAAAAAAATGTTTCTTGAGCACCAAATCAGCATATCAGAATGATTTTTGAAGGATCATGTGACACTGCAGGCTGGAGTAATGATGCTGATCATTCAGTTTTGTATCACAGGAATAAATTACATTTCTTACTTAAAAAAGAACACAGTTCTTTTAAATTGTAATAATATTTCACTATTTTATTGTTTTTGCTGCGTTTAATGCAGCCTTTGTGAGAATAAGAGACTTTTTTCCACA